ATGTTTCTTATCAGTTTTTTCTTTTATCTATTCCTTTTTTCCTTTCTCTTAAGTCTTTCTTTTTCTTTTTCTTCCTTCTTTCCTTCCTTTATTTTCTTTCTTCCTTTCCTTTCTTCCTTCCTTCTTTTCATCCCCTCTTTTCCTTCCTTCGTTCTTTGTTTGTTTTTTCTTTCTTTTTTTTTGTTTGTTTCTTTCTTTCTTTCTTTCTTTCTTTCTTTCTCTACCATTATTTCTTTCTTTCTTTCCTTACCATTCTTTCTTCCTTTCCTTACCAGTCTTTCCTTATCAGTTTTTCTTTCTTTCTTTTTTTCTTTCTTTCTTTCTTTCTTTACCATTATTTCTTTCTTCCTTTCCTTATCAGTCTTTCCTTATCAGTCTTTTTTCTTTTTTCTTTCTTTTTTTTTTCTTTCTTTCTTTACCATTATTTCTTTCTTCCTTTCCTTATTCTTTCATTTTCTTCCTTTTTCTTTTAGTCTTTCTTTCTTTCTTTACCAGTCTTTCCTTATCAGTTTTTCTTTCTTTCTTTCTTTCTTTCTTTCTTTCTTTCTTTCCTTTCTTACCATTCTTTCTTCCTTTCCTTACCAGTCTTTTCTTATCAGTCTTTTCTTTCTTTCTTTCTTTACCATTATTTCTTTCTTCCTTTCCTTACCATTCTTTCATCCTTTCCTTACCAGGCTTTCATTACCAGTCTTTCCTTACCAGTCTTTCTTTCTTTCTTTACCAGTCTTTCCTTATCAGTTTTTCTTTCTTTCTTTCTTTCTTTCTTTCTTTTTTTCTTTCTTTCTTTCTTTACCATTTCTTTCTTTTCTTCTTTTTCATTCTTTCATCCTTTTTACCAGGCTTTTTAAGTCTTTTTACCAGTCTTTCTTTCTTTCTTTTCTTCTCTTTTGTTTTAATTTTCCGCTATTAATTACTTAATTTTATTTCGATGCGCTCAAAGACTTCAAACAACGTTGTCCGTATTTGTATGCTTACCGCCATAATTTGAAAATAATTTAATAACTTTGGATAATGACAATTAAAACGAAGCCTCAATCAATATTTGTTTCCTCAAACGATAACGCAATTTGAAAGTATCAGTTCTGCATAAGTATTTGTGCAAAATGAAAATAAAAATGCAATTTTCCCAATGTTGAAACAATACAAAAATTATATTCTATCTCAATGTTATATGTACTTTTTAACTTATATAATTTAACATTTTTGGTTTTACAACGTAACTCTCGGCATTCGTAATTTTAAATTAATTTTATCACTGCCAGATATTTTTATAACCAAATATAATCAGAACGTACTCTTTGGATTGATGGTAAGTTTTAATCCACGAAAATAAATTAAATGTTGACTAGGAAATCCAAGCATATATAAAATAGACAATCAGCGCATTCATCAACTATTTCCAACTTAAACAGAGGCTGATGTTCAAGACAAGACTAAAAGCCGGATTTAAATAGTGCAGTACTTGATTTCCTTTCATCTTCAAGATTTAAGGAAAGCCTAATCCCTGATAAAAAACCTGTATTAACACCTTCCGTGTTAATACAGGTTTTTCTTACAATACAGTGTGTGATCGCGTTATCTGTGTAATATTCGTATATGCACTACGCATTAAAAACATTTCACCACCATGGGGTGTCCAGTAAATATGGGATCAATGTGTAGTATCTGTTCCCTCTTCCTCTTCAAGTTGTAAGTGAAGCCTGGTCTCGAGGATTCCAACTTTGCGGTAACGGATAGGTGTGGTGCGTCATCCAGCCAGTTTCCATATAAAGAGTGGTGAGTGAAGCAGTCAGCCAGGAAGAGATCAGCAGTGAATAAATCAGCAGACTGTGATCGTCGGGCAGTGAGTCTGAGGGTTCTTTTTCCTTGACCGGAAGTTAGTAATATATCAGGAGTTCACCTTCTCGAAGTCGAAGGAAGACCTCGCTGATTAAGTGAGAAATCGTATTGTTCGCTATTTCCCAAACAGTGTCTTGAAAAGAATTTGTCGTTATTCTTTGTTGAATTCGATCACGGCCTGTGATACAAACCTGTGAATATAGCGAGCTGGATGTATGCGCATACAACCGATCTTGGATGTCATCACAGCTTGTGCAATGACATGAAGAAAAGCATCGTCACACTGCCTTTTGGAACCAACTCCCAAGAACCTGTTTCTCCGAGCACTACAAATTTAACCTGTTCAAGTCCGTTATCGTCCACATATATCCGTTATGCCTCTTGCTCTGTAACTTAGAACACTACAATCACGCTCTTATTATGATCATTCCTTATCATAATATATAAACCAGGCGTTTCAGCAGTCAAGAATTCAGTAATGGTTTTGCTTTTTTCAGGATGCATTCAGAATTAATTTAAAAATTATGGTAAATTTGGATATAAAGCGGGATTTTTTTTTATTGATACTGGCGTCAGGAACTCGAAATGTTTTATTCTGTGTTTATGTTCACGCGTTTTTGGCCTAGCGACAGTAAACTGTGCGTCTATCACATTCTATCTTCGTAGTATGAGGAGATGTCGTAAATACATAATCAATGGAATATCTGTAAGCAGGATGAAAAGACTGTGGATGTCTTATGAAATTAATTTACATTTTTGACAGTAGTGTTCATTCTGTACAAGGCTCTGGTGGCACTCGAGGCAGAGGATTCCAGAGAAAGAAGTACAGCTTATGCGGATATGTGCGGGAGATAACGGTTAACGGTTGGAAAGATTATAGTGATCGGGGAATCATTCTCTCTGGATCCACTTCCGCAGAGTAGTTGTTCCCGAGAAGTGGGACTTATATTTCCCCAATGGAATACAAAGGAAATGAGGATGGTTTGCTACAAGGTGTGTGGCATGGCGGGTCTTAGCCGTCAAGGTTGGGACTGGGGAATCTAAGGAGAGTAGTTCGCCTGAACACACACCATGGAAATAGCGATAGAACAGTGAGAATCTTGTGACGTCTCGTCTTTGAGAAAGGACTTGCAGAGTGGAAAATAATTCGTGGCCTACAAAGAAGTAAAAACGCTTTTGGATTCTATCGGGTGTGGAAAGTGAAGACCGGGAAGTTCCCGCCCATACATGGTAGCAGTCGTTTATTTCGACCCGATTTGGCTTTTGCAAAAGCAGAGAATAACACGAGGGATGTACTCCCTGGGGCGGTAATGGAAACCGAGCCTTTGCCCGGGATCATAAGTGATGGGTTGTATATACGAGTTCCACTTGAATGGATTGAGTTTAAATCCCAATAGGCGGTAAAGCCACAGGCCCTCCCCGAGGAAACATCCATTCATCACGATTGGTGAAGTTCTGTGTCCGATTGGTGATGGTAGAAATATAATAGTTTGGCATTGAATGTGAACAGCCATTTCCCCCCCCCCCCCACTGTATTGCTGGAGTCAAGTCTGAGCTCAGCTGCCAAGGTCTGGTCATCGTGTGTTTTGGAGTTGCATAAGGTTGTATCATCAGCATAGCTATTCACTTACGCGTAAAAACCCTTGGGAAAGTAATGAATCCATCTCTGCATAGACTCAAGAGTCTATCTCTCCTCCTCACATATTTGGGTTGAATAGCAGGGCAGACTGGGTTCTATAGCCTTGGTTGGCAACCAGGTTACCACAGATCTGCGGGAAAATCTTTGATCTTGTCAGTAATGTATCAAAAGAGACATGATGAGCTATTACATAAGGTAACTAACTAACTGCCAGATTGAAAAATAAACTGAAGGTGATCATATTGAAAAAAAAATTAACGTAGTGTAATGGTTAGCGAGTTTCTTTCGTTAGATCGATTACGAGTGAGTTCAAAACTCTTTCGGTCTTGTGTCAAAGCTACTGGATAAGACGATAGACTACATCCGCGTCCTAGATGACAATAAACTACATCCGTCAGCAAGGCCTCGCTGTTCAGGAGGTTTTGACGAGCGTGGAACCAGCTTTTAACTGCTGATGTTCCTAGGTTAACCCTGACCCGGAGCGTTGGCAACTGTTATAGTCCCAGCTATGGGCAAACAGTTAACTCCAAACTGGGGTCAAAACGTGTAAAAATAGGTTTTGTTAACAGCAATATATTTTTGTAAAAAATTAATACCAGTAATAGATTTTTGAAGAATAAATTATTATCAGCAGTATATTTTGAAAAGAAAGAATTACCAGCAATACTTTTTTCTTGAAAAAATTTACCAGCAATAGATTTTTGGAAAAAAAAATATTACCAGCAATAAAAATCTTGTCGGCATTAAATAACTCATTCAGGTTGATATACCGTAAAACAAACCAAACGAAACCAATATAAACTGAGATAGATAGATAGATAGATAGATAGATAGATAGATAGATAGATAGATAGATAAAAAATATGATTAGAGTGTTCCCGGCGTTCTTTAATTTATACATTTATTTCAACGTGTTACCTGATGTAGATTGTCTGGTACTTGAAAAGACTTATCCTAGAATTATATCATTTATAGCATCACAAATACGCCTGTCTCTCGACAGAACGTGTCTCTCTTTAAAAATGTATTGCCATCTTTACGTCAGCAATTTTCTTGGATTTTTTTCTTGAGTTTAATCGTAATTTTACTTACTTATGGCCTAATTGCTTTCTCTTATTACCAGTGTTTTCAACCAATAACCATATATTAGCCATATATAATTTCTTAATGAATCTATGAGTTGGTAACTAAAGTTTCTATTCCTGTCTACCATTTTTCTACAGGTGACTTAGCTAATCGTTACTAGTAGTAAGGTTGATTTCTACCTGGAACCCCCAAAATGCTGCTTGTTCCAGACTTAGCTATGTTTATTAATTTAAGATTACTGTTCTTTTTCAGTGATGGGTTTGCTTATTTGATTTATTCAATTTTTTCTTTCTTTGTTTTTTTTCTCTCTTTATCTTTTTTTTTCTTTCTTTTTTCTGTCTTTCTTTTCTCTAACTTTCTTTTTTCTTTTCTATACACGATGTTTTATATTTTTTTCTTTTTCACTATTCTGTTTTTTTTCCTTTTTTATTCTTTCGTGACAACGGAAATTTTACTTCCCTCTTTTCTATCGATTCAATTTTATTTTTGTTCTTATTTTCTTTATATTATCCACACTATTTCTTTTTTTTTTCTTTTTAATCCGTTATTTTCTTTTTCTTTATTTGTTTGTTTGTTTCTTTCTTTCTTTTCTTTCTTTTCTTTCTTTCTTTTCTTTCTTTCTTTCTTTCTTTCTTTATTTCTCTCTCTTTCTTTCATTATTTCTATCTTTATTTCTTTTTTCTTTCTTTTTTCTTTCTTTCTTTCTTTCTTTCTCTTTCTTTCATTATTTCTCGATTTCTTTCTTTATTTATTTCTTTTTTCTTTCTTTTTCCTTTCTTTCTTTCTCATTTATAATTCTTCACATATGCTTACATATGACATCTTTCTTTTTTAGTTGCACATTCTTTTTTCTTCATATGCTTTCTTTTTTCCTTTTTCCTGTTCACTCTTTCTCTAGACGAAAAATTCATATTCTTTCTTTATTTGCTTTTCCGAAATAATTTTTCCTTCTTTTTCCTATTTATTTCTTCTTCTTTCTTTATTTTTCTTTCTTTCATTCTTTATTTATTTATTTTCTTTCATTCTTTCTTTCTTTATTTATTTATTTTATTTTCTTTCTTTCTTTCTTTCTTTCTTTCTTTCTTTCTTTCTTTAAACACTGTACTGAACATTTTCATCCTTTTCTTCCTTTTCTTTTCTTCATTTTTACTTTCATTTTCTTCATTCAAAACACAATCTGTTCAGATTCTTTCTTTCTTTTCTTTCAAATGGACCATATTGCTTTGATGTTTTCTTTTCTTTTTTTTTTTTTTTTTTTTGACCAAACATTTGTCTTTCGGAAAAATAGAGAGAAAGAATATCTCTTTTTTGATTCCATTTTTCCTCTTCTTTGTAGTTTGCCTTTACCTTCTCT